CAATGTTGAGCAAAAATTCTCTTATCCTAATATGCATTTTTATGCTGATGGTACCATTATTTATTGATTTGGGTCATCTCTTGAACAGGCTATTTATTCCACACCCTTCCAAAAGTGTTCACTCTGGAGGGGAATGTCGTTGAGGTGGTACATGAATATAAATACCGTGGAATTTTAATTGAAGACTCCCTCACCTTCAAACCTTTTATTGATAAACTTATTAAGAATTTAAAAGTTAAACGGGGCTCCTTCTTTCGTAATAAGACATGTTTTTCTTTTGTAGTAAAAAAGCACCTTGTCTCTGCCACATTTTTATCTGTCTTAGATTATGGTGACCTTTTGTATAAGAATGCTACTTCTTCATGTCTTCAAATGTTGGACTCTGTTTACCATGCTTCATTAAGGTTCATCACAAACTGTAGAGCAATGACACATCACTGTGACCTGTACTTCCAAGTGGGATGGCCTTCCCTCTCTACAAGAAGGCAGTGTCATTCGTACACTTTTTTTTACAAGGCCCTTCTTGGATTACTGCCCTCTTCCATTTGTACCTACTTACACAGAAAAGCATGACTTCTTATGCCCTGAGATCCAACAATCAGCTGATGCTCACTGTTCCTTTTGCCCGCACAGAACTAGGGAAGAAAGCCTTTAGCTACGCAGCTCCTTCTTTGTGGAATTTTTTACAAAGAAACTGGAAGTTGACTGAGTTTTTATCTTTAAATGCTTTTAAGTTGAAAGTGAAAGAATTTGAAGCAGCCTCAATGATCCGTAATTGTTTTACTTTATATGTTTTTTTTTTTATGTACCTGTCATTTAATTTAATGTATCTCTGTTTCTTATGTAACTTTGCTGCCTTTTGGCCAGGACTCCCTTGAAAAAGAGGTTTTTAATCTCAAGGGGATTTTCTTTCCTGGTTAAATAAAGGCTAAACTAAATACAAATAAATGATGACCCAGTGGTGTTTAAACTCCAAAATGTAGTATATATACACTGCAAAAAACATCTAGAAATAAGTAAAAAATGGCTTAAATTAAGTGTATTTACCCTGAAATTGAGCAGGTAAATAAGATGATCTGCCACTGGAATGAGTAATTTTACACCTAAAACAAGATAATTAGATAATATACACTTGAAATAAGACAAAGCAATTGTTCCATAGGCAAAGTGTCTCACTTACCTCCTCAATTCAAGAAAAAATACACTTAATTTGAGCAAAAATGACTTATTTAGATTTCAATTTTTTGCAGTGTATGTTAGAGTATAGACTACTTCACTCCAAAGATATGGTCCCCCTGCACAGAGTAATGTTGTATATGCTGTTAAGTACATGGATTACTGTGATCAGAAGGGAAACAGAGCAGCCTGTAGCTTAAAGGATGGCCCGAGAACAAACACAACTCCATAAGGCCAACATTCAATGGTTTATGCTTATCTGCAACTGGAGCCACTCTTTAAGGAATTATGATTTTTTTTTCAGAAACCTTTGACCTTTAAATCAGGGTGGTGAATTTAGGCTCTCATTCTTACAATTCTGTCATTGCAAGCATGACTCCGCCCTCTGGAAACAAGGGACCATCAGAGCACTAAAGATTAGTTGTTAGGGGGTTGGTCCTTGTTTGGCTGTGAGCAGCCAGTTTTGATTGTCACCATTTACCGGGTAAATCATTATGCAAACAGTACAGCTCATAAGGCTGATGTTACCTGTAACGTCTGAGAATGGAGAGGTTCTTATTGCTAATAAGAAAAAGTACCCTTGAAAGGTTAAACTTCATGCTGGTTTTTGTTGTTCGTCAACAAAATGGGGTCATTTCTGAAGCCCGTTTAAATCAAAAGCAGATTTGAAAGATTTAATTATTCCACAATGACACTGCAACACTAAAATTATGCATCAAGGAAAATAAAGAAGTTATGTAGAAAAATAATTATGGTATTTACTTAAATATGCTCTAACATAATATCATGTTTTTCTCTTTTCTTCTTTATTATACTGTAGGTTAGGGTTGGAAACCTACCTAAAACTGTAATGCCAACTTTCTATCACACTGTGAAATTGTACTGCTGAAAATGGATGGAAAGATTGTGAGGATCAATTTTGCTGATAATTTCTAGTATTTTTTTTTTTTTAAGGCAATGATCAGGTTGATTCCTCACCAATACTTGGATACCTTCAAATTAAGGAGAGAACCCAGCAGGAGGTTACTTTCAACATTACCTGTTGTAATTAAAAAACGCATAGTCTGCTATCAGTTTCTTCTCCCAAAGAGCTCTCAACCATAAAATTGAATTTTGTATAATTAAGACTGAAGAAATGCTGATTGATCCAAAAGGAACTCAGAAACAGTAGTTTTGCATAGAACTTTGGCAGCTTCTACACCTATCCGTTATTTGTGGTTCCTACCCTGCATGCATCCTTTATGACCATGCTCCACTGACAGCTACCCCTATTTCAATACGAACGCCTGTCAGGAGAGATTATACATCACATGAATCGCAGCACATAATGAGCAAGAGGGAAGGGCACTTTTTAACACCCCCTCGGGTGCAACACATGACACCAGCCAAGCTAATTAAGCAGATGCCATAATGCAGTAATCAGGAACTCAGGAGAGGCTGGAGAATTCGCCAACTTTAGTCATAACAGCACAACATTTGCTGCTCAGGAACTTGTCAACCGACCCAAGCAGATGGGGATGCCAACCTGCAGTTCATGTGTATTAATGTGTGTGAATACGGAGGTGTGTGCCATGTTTTATAATTCTTCATGCGCTTTTTAAATTATGTGTGTGCAGACTTCTTATTTTTATGTAGACACGCACCAACAAGACAGACTATATGCAGTAAAAAATCAATACTCCGAGTTTTCATCAACATAAGCTGTGGACAGTGTTACCTGGTGAGGTTTTTCCTCATTATTTTACAGGGAAATGAGCAATCAGGCATATTGCATGAAGCCTGATTGTTTCCCTCTGTAAATCAGGAATTGCAATTAAAATGTTCTCTTATGTGGTATAATTGATGTCTGCCTAATCCTTTATTTGCACACCTGCCAATGAGACTGAATTTTTAATGAATTTCTAATTAATGCTCTTTGCACACCTCATTTATATGTTAGCAAATTATATCGCTGTTCTGTGTCCTGCTGGTAGGAGAGCGCCTGCAGGATACTGCACCTGCAACATACATTTTTTTTCTTTTGTCTCCAAAAAGAAATAAATCAACTCAGCAATAAAGCGGGGAATAATACAGGAATACTGAGGACATCAAACATGTTAAAGTTTTATCTTAGTTTTTTTTGTCCACATCCCCCAATTTGCACTTATAAATGTAAATCTTATCATTTGTGAATAAGGTCCAAAAGGAAATTGGTTATTTGTAAAATGGACAATTGTAAAATGACAGTGTATGCGACTTGAGTTTATAAAAAAAAACAAGAAAAAAAAACAATTATGGATGAAGGTGGCTTCTAGTGTGAAAAACTTTCAGTAAATAAAAATATTGTAGTACTAAACATTTAAAAATGCTACATTATGTTTCTTTGATGAAAGTGCAGATATATTACTAGTACTTTCATTTTATATAAATTATCAAAACTAATCAGCCACATGTACACATGTACAGTACTGATCTTACCTCTAAGCTCTGCATGATACGATCTAAAATGGTTTTTAAAACATTTAAAAATGAATCTATGAACTTGACTAACATATTTCTTGATTTCAGTTTAAAACAGTGGCTGACAAATTTAGGGTCAAGAACTCCTTGTAGATTGTTGAGCAATGAACTGGAGGTCTGGAGATGATCTCTAGGAGGTTGAACCTTCTAGACCAGCATAGACTGTTATTATTGCTGTAATTGAGGTTAACACTAGCAACTTGCATCAATTAAAAACTAAATTGGTGTGTGCTTTTTGTTTTATCTCATTCTCTAATTGGCCTGGTTAGCAACTATTTTACTTGTAAACCAGTGCTTGTTAAGGTTTTAAAATCTCCAACAGTTTTTTGATGGGAAACTAAAACATCATGGATTTGTAAAGCTATTGGATCTGATTTAGAATATTCTTTAAGAGGCCTGTCCAGGCTATAGCACTTACACAATATAAAAATTTTTCTATATAATATTTTTCATTAAAATGTATAAATTTGTATGTTTTAAAAAAAACATAAATAATTCAGCCACTTTTGTTCTGTGTATAACAGTTTTTGTTTTTCTTTTAGGCTGACATATTTTCCTGCTCGTCTTTTCTTGTAATGTTTCAGAAAACAATATAGCAAAAGACCCACTAGTAAGGCCCTATATGCACTGGGAAACAATGCAATAAAATGTGCACCTATTTGTTTGAAATACAGCTTTTATTTGCTTAAATCTAAAAATATCAAAATTTAAAACAGTAAACAGTTATCTAATTTGTTTACTTTGCATTTGCACCCAGTTACTCTGGGTATCTTTTTCTGGAATGTTTACTGCTTTCCACATTATCAAACAAAATGTGCATAGAGATCAAATTAAAACTGACCTTTAGAAAAAAAAATCGTAGCTAAACACATTTGGTTTTTTCTTCGCTAATATAAAATTCAGCTTAACAAGGTTTTTTTTCTACCAAGTTTTAACTGGTACTATTATATATATAGTTATAGATGCTAATTTTTAGTGTAGTGAATTATCTTTTGATTGATCTGACAATTATTTGACAGTACATTAGTTCCTGGTGCATTTATCAGGAATAACCTTATCAGATAAACAGACAGCGTCATGCGTCTCTATTAACAGTGCCTTCGGGGAAAAAAAGCTTTATAAATACAGCTCATGATGAGTTTGAGTGAGCTCTAACTCAATGAGCGTTTATTTCCCCTCCTCTAATTTATTTGCTGTTGCATTTCATTTCCAGGCCAATTCACCCTCATAATCAGATGGCAATTAGTGAAGCATGAATCACAGAAAAGCCCCTCAACTTATCTCACTTCCCGACACCTGCATGCTGACAACAACACAGTTTGGTGAATCATTCTTTTATTCCAAATAAAGTCGTGCTTAGTTTATTTTAAACAGCATTTCCAATTTCATCAGAAGTTTTCAAAATGTAATAAAACCTTTTAAGCATCATGAGAGATGTTTAAATATATCTGCCAAGCTTTTATAGCATTGTCAGTTATTTGATTTTTTTCAACACATGGGCAACGTCCCTCAACTTTCGTTTTAGTAGGAGGACAAAAAACTCACTATTAACATTTAGGAATCTTTAATTCACACTAGTAATAAAATTGCATTACATTTCATAAAATAAATGTTCCAGTTTATATATACAGAGAAAACAGACTGTACATACCCTCCAGTGAACCATTTCTAAAAGAAACAGAAAACATCAAAAAAATTTCACAAAACATACAAGCAATACAGTGCTCAGCATAGCAGGCACAACTGTACATCAAAATTTAAAACTGCTCAGTGTTGGGTGGGCATGGTGTGGTAGGGGCAAAAAGTTGAACATTTATAACAGAGTCCTTGAGGTGGGTGGGGTGGGAGGGAAGGATCCGAGAAAGGGGAGTTAAAAAGTATTGCAGGCAAGCAGACGGATGCTTGTCTTGTTCCAAGTGCAGCAGAACATCCATCTTGTGTATAAAGTGTGGATCTGATTGTTGCTGCCATCAACTATTGAACCTGCGTCTCAAAGCTGCCATTCATTTGGCCCTCTTCATAGTCCATTTGACACAAAATCATGTTGTTTTTTAGGAAAAACTTGTCCCCAACGCAAAACCTGTGGAAAAAAAGAACGAAACAAGAGATTATAAATACAACTGCTTCTAGCTTGTGTGGCGTGTAGGGATAGATCTTGATAAAAATGTATCAATGCTGCTACTCCTAACAATACTTCTTATCAATATAACACTTTTTACCCATACCCTTATCAATTAGGGTTGTTTTTTTTTCTTTTGGACAGGTTTTAATTAAACAAAAGGGTAAAAAAAAAAATAGTAATAATGATAATATATAATTTAATATATCATTTATATTTCAAACATTTGGAACAAAAGAACACAAAATTAATAAAAAATACAAAATCAATTATTTTGTATATAAATAAAGCAATGGCAACACAAATTAAAACTACATCTTAAATAAAAAAGTATTTTGTAAAGTTATAGGAGATTTCAAAATTGGCAAGAAAGATTGTGATTAAAAACATATCTAAGCCCCCCCAAAAAAATTAACTTAGGTATTCAGTAATTCAGGCATCCCCAAACTTGGTGCTCGAGGCCCAATGTCCTGCAGGTTTTAGAGGTTTCCTTGCTCCAGCACAGCTGATTTGAATTGAAAGCTGATTAACAGGCTTTTGCTCTACTGCAATCATAATCAGCTGTGCTAAAGCAGGGAAACCTCTAAAACCTGCAGGACAGCGGCCCTCGAGAACCGACTTTGGGGATGCCTGCACTAATTTACCTGAATCCAGGCTACATTTTATTGTATTATCAAACTTAACTAAAGATAGCTGAAGCACCCACAGTGAATGAAGTGGGAAGCTGTGTGTGGATCATCTGTAGAGAGGGATTGAGTTTTAAAGAAAAACTAAATATTATATTAAAATTATAATTGCATCCTGATGCGTAATCTAAGACGGAATCAGTGGAGGTTTTTGCTCATGCAGTTTCTCTCATTTTTAATGGGGAAACACTAGTCACTTGTTTTCCACTTCTGACTGTAGGCAGAGGTATAAAGAGTAGCAGAGCTTCCTGAATGGGGAGGTTGACTGCATGCCGTCCGTCAGTCCTTTTGGACTCGCAGCAGCCGTTGCCACTTGCCACAGACAGTGCACTCAGAGGGATCAGTACATTCACTTGTTGCCAAAGTGAATGTACCAAACAACAGAAAATAGTCTCTAGATTTGTTGCTGCTTACATTTGAAAAGAAATTTTGCAAAAGGAATCATAAAAGCTTTTATGTTGTCAAAGGTTTGATGAGAGTAAGAAAAGTGAAGATGTGACAGCAAAACGTTAGCCCCTCCCTTCATTGTGTCTGCTTCTTAAAGAGAAGGAGATTGGCAATACAATGTTAGTAACATTTAAGTCTCCCTGACAGGTTGAATGCAACCTTAATAATACAGTTTAGAGGACTGATGCGGCTAAAACCTGTCAGTCCGTAAAGACTGTCCGAAGTGGCTTACAAGTGGTTTGATACCAGGTTTAGTACCCATCTTTAGCAGTCTGAAATGCTGCATTTGAAAATGATGTCTGACAAATATTTAGTTAGATTATAAGCATTATGAACAGGATGTTTTTAATTTGATGGGCATCATTAATGCGTGCCTTTAAATACTTTAATATTATAAACCAATCTGGTTAGAAAGCAAATAGACTGGGGAACTGGAACCTGATAAAAAGCAGGTTAAAGCTCACTTGGTCAAATGGTAATGTTGCCTCTGGAGTCTGCAAAGAATTCCTGGCACAAGCTTTCTCAGACATCGGTTTGGCTGCAGTGTTCAAAATCAGTTTTCCTTAAAAGTCAAAGTCAATTGAAGAGGGAAAATAACACACAGCTGCCTGTCCCAGTGATGTTCCCTCTCTGCGCTGCAGTTTGTTGCGTGACACTCTGGAAACAGCTCCATAATGTGACTGAAAGGGAGCGGTGATAAGAACATTGCTGAAAATAGCTTGGCCTCAGTAATATGCCAGGCTGGTAACACGGTAAATAAAGCTGGTAACAGTCACAGCCATGGCAATGTTGTGCCAGATGAGCCCTGGCTTCATATATCTGCCAGCTGAGAAAAGAGACTGGAGTCATAATTCCCTTACAGCAGGTGTTCACTATGGTAACTGAATCTGGCCTGCGGAAGGATAATGGGCTTGTGCTGTGTGGAGGAACAGGGTCACAGCACTCCTGACAAGCATGCAAAGGATGCTCCACTCTCATACTGCTGCCATTACTGACAATATATTAATGGGGAAAGCCAATATTAGGGTATGTCATACTTCTTGTACATCATACCATAGGCTTTGTAGTAGTTGCAGGGTTTCATTGTGGGTGCTATTCTCCTAGAAATACAGTGTTATACTTGTACTCGTTATTTTTTCATTTTATACACCAAAATGCTTCTCTTTCTGTAGCGTCTGAACTTCACACATAACAACAAGAGCTAATTTTATGTCCCTCTGGCTTTAAAGATTTACACATTTAGTCACAGATGGGAAACAGACTGTTGGCACTATGTTATAGTAAAAACAATTCTAAGGGTATTAGAAAAACAAAGACATGCAATAAGATAAGTAAAAATGTTTTGGTTTTTCTACAAGATTTCCAAGCTGCTTGATGTAATGCAATTAAAATGGAAAACAACAAAAAAACAAAAAGCAGAAAAATAACATTTTTTTCCCCCCACTTGAAAAACGGTTTACATACGAGCCCTTTTTCCTACTTCATTCAATATGTGATTAAAATGCAGTTTCATTGCAGGTATGATCCCTGTTCTTACCTCTGGTTACAAAGCTGACAGGCAAAACAGTCCAAATGGTAAACATTATCTCTGGCTCTCATCACCATTTCAAAGGCTGGGATCAGTTTACTGCAGGCTGCACAGTTCCCTGTTGTACCAAAGAGCCTGAAAGACAGAGGGAAAAGAAAGAGAGATTTACATACTTTTCTTTTTACTTTCATGCCCTGAAATGCAAACAAATGTGCTGCGTGACAACTGCAAATAACAGAAAAAAATATGTGATGTGTTATAGACAATGCACAGGGAACAGATTTCTTAATGTCTTTAAAGTAGTTTTGTGTCACCAACTAAAATTGATCTCTATATTTCACAACGGATCTAATGCTTAAGATGTATTTAAAAAAGCTGAAATGGATGACAACATAACTGAAATGATCCACCTTTCAGCTTCTCCTTTAAGAAAAAGACTTAAACACATAAAGGAGGAAGGCAGTCATTCATTTCTAGAGATTTTCTTTTGCTCAAATCATTCGCTTTGTCTCCAACATCCCCTCACTGCTAACTGAAGAATTACCTTAATGTTAAAATGTGAAATAACAAAAAGAAATCTCACAGCAGCCTGTTAAGGCTTATTAGATTTGGAGATAAATGATAAAGGTCATAAACACAAACAGAAGGAACTGGTGGAGATTTATTCTTTTATAAAAAAAGATAAAAAATACAAAAAATCCTCAAATGCTCCATTTCTCAGACAGATTTACATTTTCATTTTCCATGCTTCTGCCCTTATGTTTAATTTGGAGATTTTGGAGCCCAGAAAGATTTATATATTCTGCGGCAGGAGAAGGTCTGCTTCACAGCTTTGCAAGACAGGATAAGAACAACTGCAGATCGTCGTTCCAGCAGTATGTTAAACACTCCTCACTCCTCAAACTTGCAAGACTCAGACAGATGAGTCAGAATGTTGATATTCGGCCTAGTTTATGCTTGTCCCATTCAGTTTCTTTCACCTTGTTAGGGAAAATGTATATCCAGCAGCCCTGCTTCTAATTAGGGGCCACTGCCCCAGAGGAGCAGCAGAAACCGAAACAGAGAGAGAAAGGTTGTTATGTTCCATGAGAGGGATTCACAGGGTGTTAAACTGAGACATTCTTACATTTAGTTATTTCTTCAGTAAAAAAAAACACCCTCAGTGTTCTCATACAGTAGGCATCTGCCACCCACAGACTGCTCTGAAACACAAAGAATGTGTTTTTCTTCTGTGAGACACCAAGACTGCTGCTTAGTCATGCATCTAAAGAATTTCTCAACATCCAATATTGATGCACAAATCCAATATTTTCACTAAAGTGTTTGTGTGTAAAATAGCTGACTTATGATATTCTAACTATTTAGGATATAGAAGAAAAAGAAAAGAAAAAGATTTACAGCCGGAATCGGATTCCTACATTCACTTCACAAATAATAGGTGCACATTTTTATTTCTCATGGACATTAAATAAGATCCATTTTATGCTATTACGCTCTTCAAAGTGAGGAATTAACAAAAATGTTTTGCAAATTTTGCTTTCTAAATTTTCAGATTCGTAAAGCATTTTCGTAGCTCTACACAAGCTTCCCACAACAGTTTGCTGGCCCATTACTGCTGACATAACTGGTGCCATTGGGTGATTTGCTCACACACATCTTCTCTGTTGAACTGAGATCAGGGCTTTTTGATGGCTGCTCTAAACTATTGATTATTGTCCTCAAGGGATATTGTGACTGGGTGGCTGTATGCTTACTGTCCATGCTAATGACCCAGAGAATCCTAAACTGTAGCTTCCTGACTGATATCTTGAGATGCTGCTTCAGTATTTTTTAAGGTTTAAAGGTTTTTGCTAATTTTTGAAAAGACACGCCCTCTCCACTTAAAAATAAAAGCAAATGCACAACCCTGTGCCTGCTTCCAAGAGGGAACTCCTATTAATTGGATGCAAGAGCATGTAAGAGCCCATTTCTCCTCATGCACTCTGTTTAAAAGTTACTGTTTGCATCTCTCATAAAAGCTTACTTTTCAAAAGAAGGGTTGTAATATTTCCACTATGTCAGACTTACCACCGGTAAGTGAATATGGGAGCAAGCAAGTACTGTAGGTCGGCCTTATATAAACATATCACCACAATAATTGACAATTACGAGAACAACTTATCTTGATGATCCTCCACTATATCTTTAGAAAAATGGGTTTAAATCATGGTGCCATATTTTTTGTCAACCTAACCAGTCACCCCAAGAGCAAAATAACCTTTGAAATTGTAATATAGGGCTTGCAAGCTTTCTTCCATTTAAACAAAATAATATCACCTGGATTTTCAAATTGGTGAGAGATCCAGCATTTGAACTTCTAATGGAAAAGTACTAAAACACATTGAAATTAACATTTCTCATTCATTTAGCAAATAGAAAACATTATTTGCTTACCCTACCTATTCAAAAACTGAAAAATAAAAAAAGGACAAAATGGTAATTTGTC